TCAATGATGACAGAGAATCATTGATCAGCTGCCTCCTGCACGCCCCCTACTAGGGACCAAGCCTGAAACACAGGCATGTGCCCTTGACCAGAATTGAACCCGGGACCCTTCAGTCTACAGGCCGATGCTCTAGCCACTGGGCCAAACTGGCTAGGGCAATTGGCTGACTCTTGTATATGCCCTTACCTGGGATCAAACTCAAAACCTTGGTGTATCAGGATGATGCTCTAACCACCTGAGCTATCCGGCCAGGGCTGGTGTTGGTAAGTATTTTAGACTTATTCTGAGTGAAGAATGGACTGTAGGTGGTCAAGGATGGAAGCAGGAAGCCCAGGGAAGATCGGATGGCAGCCTGTGCTAGAGTGATGGGGAGTCAAGGAGAATGCTTAGCCCTGGCCAGTTTAGCTCAGTGGATAGAGCGTCGGCCTGAGGACTGAAAGGTCCAGGGTTTGATTCCGGTCAAGGGAACATGCCCGGGTTGCGGGCTCGATCCCCAGTAGGGGGCGTGCAGGAGGCAGCCGATCAATGGTTCCCTCTCATCATTGATGTTTCTATCTCTTTCTCCCTCTCCCTTCCTCTCTGAAATTAATAAAAAATATTTTTAAAAAAGAAGAAGAATGTTTAGGTTTGAGGGACTGGCAGTAACTAGAACCAGAAGATCAGACTGGTGAACAAGGCTGAGAATTCTGACAGAGCGCCTTAGGGTGGGAGACACCTTTGAGAAATTCCAGTGGGAATGTCAAGTAGGCAGGAGGGAGCTGTGGGTCCAAGGTTGAAATTTGAGAGTCACCAATGTACATGCAGATGGTACTTTTCTAGTTTATGAACTCATTTTCTTTCTGCTATAACTTCTAATTGATTCATGCTATTAAATATTGTTAGTTGACCCTCTAACAGGCAATATGGCCAAATTCTCATATTAAAATAGTTTGTTGAGTTTCTTAGGTTTTCCTTGAAAATAGTGGCAGTTTTATCTCTTGCCTTCCGATGCTTACATGCCATTTCTTTTTCTTGTCTTATAGCATTGGCAAAGACTTCCAGAACTATGTCCAACGGTAAAGTTGATCAGTTCTCATATACGCCACATCACCACCTTCTGAGATACCTTATTTCCTTATCACCATTTTATTTATTTCATTATTTTTAAAGTTTTGAATTTTTAAATAAATGTTATTTATTGATTTCAGAGAGAGAGGAAGCGAGAGAGAGAGAGAGAGAAACATCGATTTGTTGTTCCACTTACTTATACATTCGGTTGATTCTTGTATCGGTACAACACTCTAACCAACCAAGCTATCCAGCCAGGCCTTATCCCCATGTTATAGAAGGAGAAACTGAGGCACAGAGAGGTTTGTTTCTTGTTCAAAGACACACACCAAGTAAGCAACCAAGACACCAAACAAACCTTGTGTTCTCAACCACTGCCTTAAAATAAAACTCAATAAGCATTCTGTATGTTTTTAAAATTTTTATTGATTTTAGTGAGAAAGGAAGGGAAAGAGAGAGTGAGACATCAATTTGTTGTTCCACTTTCTTGTATGTGCCCTGATCAGAGATTAAACCTGAAACCTTGGTGTATCAGGATAATGCTCTCACCAACTGAGCTACCCGGCCAGCGCTGCATTCTGTATTATTTTAATGGACAAAATACCTGCAGGCTTCCACAATGACCCCTGGATCTCGGATGAGTCTCTGGGGGTCCGAGGTCCGGTTTTGACTCCAGCCCCTTTCCAAGCCTCCGTTTCCTCCTGTGATATGGTATCTGAAAGCCAGAGAAACTCTGCCTTCAGGGTGGAGAAGATAGGCCCCTAGATTATATCAGTGTCCTGATTACCACAAACTTGGTGGCTTAGAACAACAGAAATTTATTCTGGCGGCTGGAAATCCAAAATCAAGGTGTCAGCAGGGCCACACTCCCGCCGAGGCTCTAGGGGAGGGTCATTCCTCGCCTCTTCCAGCCTCCGGTGGCTCCAAGTGTTCCTGGCTTGTGGCCGCATCAGCCCAGTCTCCATGTGTCTGTCTCTATCACCCTCTGCCTTTTCTCTCGTAAGGACACTTACCATTGCACTTAGGGCTCACTCGGATAACCCAGATTTCATCTCGAGATCCTTACCTCAATCGCATCTGCAAAACCCTTTTTCCAAGTCAGCTCACAGTCACAGGTCTCAGGTGGACATACCTTGGGAGGGGATGGGCATGCCCTTCAAGCCACTACACAGATCAAAACAGAAATGAAAATGGAAAACACGTGGCAGAGTTTAGACGAGGAGGTGCCCAAAGCTTTTCGCCCAAACAGGTTCATCCAGCACAGAGTGTTGGTGCACTCGCCCTGGACAGCCCAGAGGGCTCAGTACGTCCGCCCGTGGCTGTTAGAGGTTTCGCGTGCTTCCACGTCTTCCTGGACGTCTCCACGTTGAGGATGTGAAGTTCTGGAGGGAGTTTTTCATTCTTCAACTGTTCATGTGAATTTAAGAGATTTTTTTTCACAAAACTTCAAATGATAATAAAAGCCAACATTTATACAGCACTTAACATGTACTAGATCCTGTTCTAAGTGTTTAATATCTATGACTTCATTTGCTCATCAAAAAGTATCCCCCCGCCGAAACCGGTTTGGCTCAGTGGATAGAGCGTCGGCCTGCGGACTGAAAGGTCCCAGGTTCGATTCCGGTCAAGGGCATGTACCTGGGTTGCTGGCACATCCCCAGTAGGAGATGTGCAGGAGGCAGCTGATCGATGTTTCTCTCTCATCGATGTTTCTAACTCTCTATCTCTCTCCCTTCCCCTCTGTAAAAAATCAATAAAATATATTTAAAAAAAAAAG